CCCCAAAACCCCAAAACCCCAAAACCCCAAAACCCCTTCAAAAGTATAAATATTGATTCAGTTTTATTATTAAATAAATTGAGAAAATGTACAAACTTTGAAACAAGAGCGATAAGGTGCCGAAAGAGTGTATTAAGAACCAAGAAAGTTGAGAACTCTTCATCAAGAGCAATTTTGAAGCTGAAGAGAACCTTTCAGATGATTTCCTGAGCGAGAAAGTCTCTACTTCTGATGTGAAGATCTCTGACAAACTTATTAACAATATGTCCCAAAATCCATTTAAAACTAAAAATCAACCAAAGTTGGGGGTAGAATCTCTGATTCCTAATTCACTACCAAAAGAATCTCTTTCCAAATCGAATAAATCCTGCTTAGGCGCAACTAAAGACCAGACAACCACTAAACCACCCCCTCCAAAAATGCTCAGAGAGCTAAAGAAGTTCAGAGGAGGGCAAAAATTTAGTTCGCAACAATACTCTTCCAAACCACTATCGAACCCCACCAAGAAGCCTACTCTAAAGCAAGATATCACCGATCTACTAAAACAAGCTATGAAAATCCGCCAAAACACCACCTCTTCCAAAGAAGGTACCCACTACTCCCCCTCCCTCGCTGATCTCGACCACCTCGCCAACCTCAACCTTCAGCAAAGAATTCTCAACCGGCAAAAACCAGTAACTATGAGAGACATCGAAAAGCCCTAAAACTCCTATATTCCCCTTCTGCCTTGGAACCGGTCCATAACCTTAATTATTCTGATAATTCTTGATTACTTTGAATGGGGGTTTATCTTAAGCTTAGAGAAGAATCTGGTCTCCAGGTGTTGACCCAAGCTGGGCTCAGAGGAGGAGAAATTGGGAATTTGTACAGGGAATAGGCCAATAAAGGGAAATTTTAAGGGATTTATGAAACAGAGGGGGATTTTAAGAAAGGGGATGGTAAGATAAGGCACGCTCAGTTTTGGTTATGGTATAGAATATAGACCAGATTACTGTTTTTATGTTGGAGCTCTAGCTTTTAGTGTTAATAACTTGATGGATACTATGAGTAGAAGAACATTATTGCAAACATTTGCATGCTTAAATAATGAGAATTAATTATACTAGCTCTAAGTGGGACTCTTCAAGTGAAGAAGAGCAGAGCCCGACATATCAATGATTCAGTAGTATATAAATTGCAAAGTAGACGTTTAACTCGGGTATGAGATATATCTACTAAACCGTTCTGGTCTCTTCTGCTAAAAATATTGAGAACTATAATTTGAATTAAAGCAGATAGCATAAGTTTAGCAAAGTTTAATAGCCTAACTCCTCTCATGATGTTCATAATTCAAGAGATGAGCTATTAAATTCAGCTTAAATGGTAAATAATTACATTAAGTTTTAAAGAAAATTATAAACCTCCAGGCTGCATAAACTTACAAGTCAATGGGAGTTCTAAACATCAGAGAAAATAAGGTTCAGAGACATTAGGTAGATACCCCATTAACCAATTCAGTTTATTTGAAACAAAATTTGAACAGTTCAAACTCTATATCAACTATGAAATTTGGACCGATAAGTGGAATTTAGCTGATTTTAAGCAGTTTTCATACACATAATCTGGGTATCTAACAAGTTAATTTGCCATGAATTGGTACTAGTTATCGCTCTCAGATATTAATTTAGCCATTTCAGCCTCTGGCTTCACCAAAACTTGCTTTAAGAAGGTTCCTATTTCAGCAATTTTTTTCAAACATGCTTCTCAATGGTAAACCTTTGATTACAGATGTATATAATTCTTTACGAGTTGATTACTTGTAATATTATGAGGGTTAGCAACAGAAGAGACTTGGGGTCCTTGCTCGCAGATTTTTCTAATCTTGTCTGCAGCCTCCACGATACCTTCTTACTCAGACCATCTGCTGTATAAATATCTGAACAATATGTTTTAAAATTATCACTAATAATATTTTTAGGGTTGATATACTCATATTTTAAATAAAAATTTCTGAAAATCCTTCTCACGCATTTTATGATATCCAAAAAATGCTAAAAAGTTGTAAAAGATCCTCAGAATTTATGAATAGACTAAGAACAACCTAGGAACAAATTGCAATAGACCAGGAAAGGGATCTACAGGTTATGGCATGCTTATGAATCACTTAAATATTAATTTAAAATTCTAAAATCTTGGGTTACTCCAAAACATATCAATTCCTCATCTTTGCAGGCTAAGAGCCTGATATTTCCCTTTACTCTTGTCCTAGACTTGTATTGTCAGAATTCTTTAAGGCTAAACTCTTGAAGCTTATATGCATGGATAAAGCTTGGGTTGTAGAGGAGTAGGTCGGTATTAGAGCCTGGTTATTACAATCCTCAGCTGCTCTTATAAACAATTAATTAAACTCTGAAATCCCGACTTGGTAGTCCAAAACCAACTCAAATTTAAAACTCAGATAATCAAAACTTAAAATGCAGGGTAAAACAATAATTCGACGATTTAAACCACCAGTTTCGTAAGCCCTGGGAACTCCCGGGGTGATGAGACCTTTCCAAGAGGTAGTATTAAGGAAGAACTCCCTTTACTTAATATAGATAGTTTAAGACCAGTGAGATTCATAATCTAACAAGCATAATATCGCCTGGATTACTACTTGTTGTATTTATTATGATTCCTCTATTTGGAAAAATTGATATAATAGCAATTTTTTGCTTTAAATACGACATATTATAAAATATTAAGAATTGTCAAAATTGTACCAAAATTGAACAAAATCTAATTAGTTTCACTCCCATTTAAAAATCTGATTTCCTTGTATTCCCTCAACCAGAGCTTATTCAGACCTCACTCGCTCTACAAAAGGTCTAAAAATAGAAAAAAAACCCAAATACTCTAAAAATTCCAAAATCTTTCTCTTATGAGTCTTAGATCGCTTTTAACCTCTTCTCCATATTCATTCAATGTTATCTTCTCGAAAAGGGGTTTTGGGGTTTTGGGGTTTTGGGGTTTTGGGGTTTTGGGGTTTTGGGGTTTTGGGG